GTTATCCACATCAATATTAACCTTTTAAAAATAATGACTTACAAGTATGATATAAATATTAATGAAGGTTAGAAAAGGAACGGGGAGGTTACATAATATTTATATTATGAATTTATATTAAACCTATGTATTGATATTAATGAAGGGTAGAAAAGGAACAAAATAATGACTTAGAGGTATCCAGATCAATATTAACCTTTTAATTTTAAGTATGATATAAATAATGACTTAGAAGTATGATGTAAATATTATAAATTGATCTTTATTTTTGGTTAAGATATTAAACCTATTTTATTTTTGAATGGGAGAAATAAGAGGTGATATTCGATTCTTGTATACTCTTTTGTCACCATCGTAGTAATGCCCATGGAACATAATTACTAGCCAAGTGGGTTCAAGAAAAACTTTAATTTCCTTTATATGTCAAACATAAAAACGCATTGAGGACCAATGATATATCTTTCACTAATTTGATTTGGGTATTTACTTAGTGGGAATTTTTTTCTTAGAATCCAATCTTTCAATTATTGCTATTAAATAATAACGTTCATTTTGTTAACACAAAAATTCTATGGTGTTTAGTGATGATGATACTAACAAAGTGATGAATATAACTGTGACCATAAAAAATTAATTTATCAAAAGACTTGATGTTACAGCATGACCAAAATATAATTTAAGTAAATAAATTAAGAAATACATCGACGTGTTATGAAATTCTAAAATTGTAATTTTTTTACAAAGTTAATAAAAAATCCATTAGCCGATTTAATTTACATATTCTCCTACAAAAATTAAATATATCAAATTATAACTAAATCACGATTTTTGAGCGGGTAATAGCAAAGCAATTAAAAGATGAGAAAGAAAAAAAATACATAAAATTTTAATCTATTTTGACACACGTAATTATGTTTATAAGAACATTATGAAATATTTACTTTTTTATACATAATTAATTAATCATTATTTATGATTATTTACTTTGAAAATTGTTTGATTCTATACTTAAAAGATATATTATAAAATTAAAAAATATATATTTAAATTATTCTTAACTTCAACTCTTGAGTAATATAAATTTATTAAAATATAAAAGTTAACCTTAATTTTCGTTCTCATATATAATATTAATGTTCTTATTCCAAATTGGTTGAGATGACATTATTAAAATCAATTTATATAAAAATGAAATATTATCTGTTTTAAAATTTATATAACAATTTTATTTTTAAAACACGTATCTGATAATTAAAAAAATATATATATTTAAATTACTTTTAACCTTAATTTTTTTAACTTTAATGAAACCGTTAAAATACTAAAACAATGATAAATTTGGTTAATTAGGGCACCAAATTGACTTCCACACGATAAAGTAGTGATAAGGTTATTGAATTTTGTTAAAACAAGAAATTGATGTAAATGGCATTTATTATCGGAAGATATAAAATTCTGTCAGTGTGATGTGGTGTTGAATTGACTAAAACACCCCTGGATTATTGATTGTGTCTGATCTGATACGTGGATATGATATGAATGTGAATTAAGATTCCTAGGCTCTATGATTGAGAGAGAGAAATTCCATGGTTTCACACCAAAGGCCAAAAATAGTCCTAATCCCAATGGCATATGACCTTACACCAACCACATTCACGGGTCCCCTTCGCAACCTTTCTTAATTAATCATTTCTTTTTTTTCTCATAGATCTCAACTCATTATTCAATGTTCAAAATTATTATACAAAAACAAGTATAGAATGTGTTTCGAGAGAGGTGTTAAGATAATTTTATCAAACCACTCTAAGATATCTCGAAGATCGAATAAGTTTCTTAATGGTCCTTCGTTATCCAAACGACATTCATGTTTTCTCTTCTTTTTATTTAAGCTGTGTAAAAATATGTGAAGAGACACTATGACGCTTAAGTTAGTGACTTTATATAACAATGTTTAATAAAAATGAGTACTCAAGATTGATCATATGACTTTTCCATCAATGACTATTATTTTCATTAACTATAAATAAATAGTTATTATTGTTCAAATTAATTATCAATTAGAATAATGATACTATGACAACATTTTTTGATAATATTTCTACATGTCATTCTGTGATTGGTCTATATTGGTGTTTATGATTATTATTATTGATTGTGGAATAATTTTGGACCAATCACAGAATGACACGTAGACAGTGTTAAAATATTGTCAAAGTATCATTATCCTATCAATTAATAACTGGTAATTTTCTCGCTGGATGATCATCCATTTCTGACCAGATGGTCCCACGATACAAAATGATTTTTAAAACATCTCTTTTCTTAACTTGTAAATAACATGTTTTCACTTCTCATGATGTACACGAGTATATAACGAATTTTTTGTTTTGTCATAGAAGAATCCAATAACTTAAAACAAAAGAAAGTTAGTTTATAGTTGTCTAAGTAGAAAATATTGTCATGCATAGGAACATGCCTATTGTTTTCAAAATCGAAACCAGCGTTTGTTTTGGCGACCTTGCAAGAACAACACACACGTCTTAAGTTTGCGCATGGAAAAATGATGAATTGTTGGTAAAGGGCCAAAAATAGCAGATGCATTGCGATTAAAATAGATAATTGAACTTCGAGGGCCTATTTGGGCATCGTGGCTTGGCCCATTTCTACGTGTGGCCCACAATCATAATTATTTAATAATTTTAGGGTTCCCACCAAAGAACCAATTACGTGTTCAAAAAGGGTCAGTAGTTAAGGCATGCCAGGATACTTCTTTTTCACTTTTCTTATAAAATATTGTTTATTTCTGGTACATAAAATAGCCTAATAAAATTTGGCTATATTTTAGTCCGTCTTAAGTTTAATGAAAAATATTTATATTAATACTGAAAATACTTACATGGATAATATATTATTAGTACAATTATAATTTATATTTTATTTTTTAAAATTAAGTATGATCAGAGAGATAAATGTATTGAAATTGTTTTTGTTTTAAATGATTAAAGCATTGTTTTAGTTCATTAGATTTTCTGAAAAAATTGTTTTATTATTTTTTTGGATTTTTTTTTGTTTTATTTGAAAAGCTATTTTTTCTTTATAGTTTTTTTATTGATTTTCTTAATAGTTTAAATTTTTTTAATAGTCACAAAATTTAGAAAGATCTTCTAAAATATTTTTTCTTTACATATTTTTGAACATAATTTTTTAAAAATCTTGTGGACTTTTTTGATGATGAAGGTGATATTCCTACTTTTGTGAGTGTGGAAGTGGGCTGGGTGCATTGGGAATGAAGCTGAGTAAACTTTTGAAGTGCATGACTTCCATAGGTTCTAAACAAATACTTTTTAGCCACACCATTTAAACCTCACCATCCCATTACTTTTATATCTACCAAGTTTCAAAACCTATTCTCTCCATATCATATCCAAAAAGAGAACTAAGATATTTCTAATCTTATTTCAAAATTTTCTGCAATTTTTAATTGTCTTTTAATTCAACTAATAATTCTCTCTTATATTTCTTATCATAGAGAAACAAGCTTTTTCCATTTAAGTGCTTTGAAATCACTGAAACAGACCTTTAGACCTTGTTCTTTTGAGTGGATTTGAAGATAAATTATTTTATCGTTTATTTGAGTGAATTTGGACGTAAATGAGAGTGAATTTGGAAATAAATTTTTTTAATATTAGTATAGAATTGTATTAACGTGACAAATTAAAAAAATTTATTTCCAAATTCACTCAAATAAACGACAAAAAAATTTATCCTTAAATCCTCTCAAATCCACTAAAAAACAAGGCCTTAGTGATTAACAGTACATTAACAACTTATTCACTTTTATATAATATTTTACTTTCTTATTTTTATTCTTATTTCTATCTAACGCGGGACTTAAACTCCCCTTGGATTCGCACTTTCATTCCCAACCAACCGTTGTGTTGTGTGTAGATAGGGAGAGAGATTGCTGGTTTTGAACAGACGAAATTGGTTCTTGAAAATGTGTGGTTAATGGTTACCGAAATCTATGTCTTGCCCAGATCACTAGGGATTGGAAAAAAGGTAATTTAGTGGGTTTCTTTTTGAAAGGGAAATCTTGAAAAGGGAGTTAGACTTTTGAGCAAGAGAATGGTTGAGGCTGGGATGTGCATAGCACCTATTCTACCTTTGGCCTTATTCGGTTCTGTCTTCAGTCATGGTACCACAACTCCAATATGTGTGTAATTTGTGAGTAGCGTGTGATTAGGACCTGAACTAGTTTCCTTTTGTCTCCGACTTCATTGTCTACAGTATTTTTTTATTGTGGTCCAACTGCACACACTGCCACAACTACCCAAAACCAAGAGATAAGATCCACTATTTCCTCTGACGTTATCACCCTATATATACCATTATACCACGCACTACATAACCCTCTGCACTCTCCTTTAAGCAGGCCAGTGTTATATGAAATCTGAAACCAGGCTGGTCAAAAACTGTGATCACAGTATCACCACTTGTACTCACCACTTAGTTTTAGCTACAAGGGTAGTAGTGTTGTGTTGTGTTGGCCTAAAGGGACTCAGAGAGTGCCAGGTCCCTAGTTTATCTCTATCTAGACCAGGATTTGAGCTGCTAGGTCAACTTGGCAGGCACCATTTTCTTTGGCCAGAAGTGGATCTTGGAATCTCAGCTCACGGACAGAAACAAAAACAAGGTAAGCTATTTAATATTTTCTAACTAGTCTTAACTCGTAATCATATCTCAGTTAATGGGCCACTACAAGGGAATAATAATATGCTGATTAGGAAGTTCAGACTCAGCTAGGCCTCATGTTCTTAGTCTTATAAATTCTTACAACTATGATTCATCAGTATTTTGAACGTCTATAGATGAATTGTCTAGTCTGGCGAAAGTTGACACAGATGGTAAGGTAATTTGAACCGAGTCTATAAATTGAACGCTGAAATTTTGTGAATTGTGACCTGCTAACCGTACTGATCATGACCCTTTTGAGAAAAATCTTAAGAGAAACGATTGCATGCAATTTTCAACTTCAACATTCATGGGCAAAGAGATTTTAGGCCAAAATTCAGTGAAGCATGTTTAACCCTTGCATTGCACCAACTGAAGCACTTTTACCCACCCTTTGTCTTGAAACCTCAAAAGCACAAGAAACAAGACATTTAGCTTTGAGGGACGCTGTGGAAAGGAAGGAATATACCCTTAACATACTCACACTGCTACATATTCTTAGAAACAAGCTATGACAACATGGAAAAGAAAATTACTTGAGCTAATTAACACTCCAACCGCAATACGGAATCACTTGCTGGTTTACATAACAGAACATGCATTTGGGTTCTCGTCGCTGAAAATCTCAGGGTCATAAGCGTAGTCGATGTAGTTTTTGGCTGGCCAGTATTCACTTCGCTTGATTTCAGTTTTGTTATCTTCTTCTTCTTCTTCTTGTTCCTTGTTTTCTTCTTCAACTTTTTTTTCTTCCTTTTTCTCCTCTTCTTTCTTTTCTTCTACCTTCTTTTCTTCCTCCTTCACAATAGATGCTTGCTTTTTGGTCCTCTTATATACATTGTCAACAAGCTTCGCAGGGTCGATCACACCTTTTACTATGACTTGATCGTTTGCCAAATCTGTTTCCACTGATTCTACTCCTGCACATGCACGCAATTACTATGTCTCAAATCACGTACCAACTCTATTCATGAAATCATTGAAGGACGAAGCACAAAAAGTTATAACTGTTTATTTCAGTAACATCTATTTTGTTTTCCCAAGATGAATAATTTAATACCAAATGAATAAAAAAAAGCTTTAGATTAACTCTTAAGCACTTATATGAGCTGCAATGACATTTTAAGAGGCAATATGCGTCTGAAATTTGGTACCATGTTTCAGCATTGAGATAGATAGCTCCCTCCACTCTTAAAATAACTGTTATGTTGAGAGTGTTACATTACAGCTAATTCGGCATTTTCAAAAGGATTCTTAAGCCCATACTTTGAAAAGAAAAGCAGACCTGTAATTAAAACTATTACGTATGCCTGCACATTCCTAAGGAGGCTGTTGTGGCTTCATTGCAGTTTGGAAGGCATTATTAAAAATTATAAATATAAACTAAACACGAACTTTTAACCATAAATAAAGTCCACAACAACACATTCTCCTTTCTCAGTACCATCTTTATTTTTTGATAAAAGAATTGCAGCTTTACTCAACAACGTGGGCTCACTCTGTACTAAAGGCGATTTCATGAGATTCTACCGATTAAAAATGTGTTAAAGAAGAAAGTATAAAAAAGTATGTTATATGCATTCTTCTTGTGATTATAAGATTCCATGGTAAACTTGAGAGAAGAGAAAGGATAACTCAAATTAAAGGGGCAATTAAACTCTTTCTTTTCAATTATACAATGCAGTTTTGTTGGGATTCTCGTAAATCATTAGTAATTAGTAATCATGATAACAAATAATGATTGAAAGGCACAGTTCCATGTAGGACCTGGGATTTAGTTCAGCTGAATCGATCCAAAACGTGTTTGTTGTACTTGTTAATGCACGAGTGAAATAGTATGAAGCAGAAATAAAGAAAAAGAGAAAGAGAAAGAGAGATATGAATCTTTGCACCTTTAATCTTACGGATTCGCTTCTGTATAGCTTGAGCACACGCTTCACAATGCATTCGAATTTTTAGCACAACAGTTACCGCAGAAGGAGGCTGACCAACCATTCAAACAACAACAGCACAGGAATTAGATTACCAACAAAATAGCTTTGGTCAATCAGAACATCTAAAGCAGCGTCAATTTGAACCAGATAAGGCATCAGTAAAACTTAAAATTGGATACAAATAAAAGTTAATAGTTCTTCACTTTTTCATGAATTTGTCGCAATACGAAAGAGGCACCTGTATGGTCCCACTATCTTAAAATGTCTCAATTCGGGTACGGATCATGGCATGGGGTTTCCAACTTCATCTCAAGTTTTATTAGAAAAAACAAACCAAAAAAGCAAACTTTAGCAACCCATGTTCATTCATTCCCTCATAAAACCGGTGTATTCAAGTTAGAAGTATTATTAACACGATATACTACTAGTCTGCATATTTTTAAGAATTTGTGAATAGTTTAATGCAGGAGTATTTCCTTTTTGCCTCTCTATCTGACTAGCTGACTAGTATTTGAATGTCGTCATCATCCATGGTATATGGGAGCCTGTGGTTTTAGCTTTTAACCTCCATACAGCAGACGTCAGCATGGTTGTGTGGTGTGTGCGTTGTGTGGAAGTGAATGTCCTGAAAGTGGGACACGGTAAAACCAGGTGAGTGTACCCACCCGTGACCCCATTTTGCAGCAAAGCAGCATGTCAAGTTGCAACTTGAAAAAAGTGAGTGGGGTCAAACCCTCTCATTTGTCACCGCCGTTCACCTCGTTACGTGTGCCTATCCAAGGGGTATCACTTTGTTTCGTTACTTTCATGTCAGCACTCACCTGGAATGGATCGCAAAACAATACACCAAAAATACTAAAAACTACCCTCTGCCAAAATTACTCTCTCTCTCTCATAAAACTGAAACCCAACCATTTTCCTGTTAATCTCTTATCAACTTAACAACACTTTGGTTTTTGTTTTTGTTTTTGCAAGTCTTGAGACTTTAGTTCTTGTTTTGAAAGTTTTTTTACCGAATGTTGGTCGATCAGAATGATTGACTGTGCTGCGGTATCGTACTGTGCTTGCTGAATATTTCATCACATTTGCATCATAACAAGAAAAGAAGTTTCAAAGTTGAATGATTTTAGATTTACCTCGTCTTTTTTCTCTTCTTTAGGTGGTGGTTCTTTGATTTCTTCTTTTTTCTCCTCTGGAGCTTTTGGCAACGGTGAAATAAGCTCCACTTTCTTTCCACTTTTCTTTTGTAGCCTCTCAAGCACCTTTATGGGGTCTGCTGCCGTTCCTTTCACTACCACTTTGCTTGTCCTGCTATCCGCAGTCACATCTTCCACTCCTGTTTCACACTCCCACAAAACAGATTAGATTAGAAACGTTAATTAATTAACCCCGTTTCATCAATCTTTTCCACCTCCTAAAACAACTTTACCTTTGTTAACTACGGATGCAATGATGATCTTTTGTCTCTACATGAATAATGCACGTCTAAGACAAAATTATCTCATCATTATTTTCTGAAATTCAAAAGCAATCATGTGGATACTGAATCGATGCCTCTAACAAGGGGTGAAAAAGATAGGGAAACTAAGAACACTAAAACTGAAGCTAAACCCATAAGCTAACTATACCTATAGCAGCGTTCCCTATGGGTGTATATTCATAAACATGATAGATAAAAGCTGTATGTAGGGAAATGAAATGACCTTGGAATCCTTTCAATGCTTTTGCAACTTTCCTTGCACAGGCCTCACAGTGCATGTCAACTTTGAGCACTATCTCCGGTGGTGGCTCCTCCTTGCTTTCATCCTTCTTCTCTTCTACCTTCTTTTCCTCTTTTACTTCTTTATTTCCTTCTTCCTTCTTTTCCTTTGCAAACACAGCATTTCAATAAGACAACTCACGATCATAGAGTTAAAAGAAAACAAAAAGAAACACGGAAGCAGCAGAATTGAGAAAAGAAAAAATAAACTGAAAGGAACGGGCAAAGAGAGAGATTGATTTAAAACATGGGTATGTGTATGCGAATGTGTATGTGTATGTGTGTGAGAGTTTGAGTGTAGAAGAGAAAGAAAACTCTTACTTCACCCATGCCTGTGGCAGTAGACAATGCCTTCTGCTTGAGAGAGAGTTTACTTGTTAACGCAGATCTTAATGTTATGTGGTTTCAATGTAGAAAACAACTCTTGTTTTGTTTATGCACTCTCTCACACACACACACACACTCTTTCTCTCTCTCTGCCTCTCTGTCCATGGCAGCAATGTTGGACTGAGGAGACATTTAACGTGTAGGGATTCTGCAAATCTGACGTGGATACTTTACTGCATAATCAACTGCAAACTTAAATAAACAAAAAAAAAGACATTTTTATTACTGTCTGCTATTTTTGGTTAGATTAGGGTGAATTACTATGTAGGTAGTGTGCATGGCTGAAACGACATTCTAGGCCAGTTGATATAATAATGTTTTGATGACAGTAAAATATTTTTACTGTTACTTGTCGGTATTGTTGTAAAATACTTATCATAATATATATACTCTAATACTGAATAAAAACACAAAATTTTTCTTGATTCTTCCATTTTCCAAGTTATTGCAGACCAATGGTTGTGGCTATTACCTAGACCATCATCACCATTGACTGGTCGTACCTCCATCTAATCTTCCTCCCTATTTCATGCTATCACAACGATCTATGTTTTAGAAATTAAGCCAATTAGATTTTAAAATTAGTTTTTGGTTAATTCATGTGAAAAAGGAAAATATTGTAGGAAATGAACGTTTGAATGAATAAAGTATTAGAAATATAAATGTAAGTTTTAATTTCATATTAAATAAAAATAAAAAAGTAGAATAATATATATGTATATAAAAATTTATTAATTTATTATCTTAAAATTTTAGATCAAAAGCAGTATAATTTTTTATATGATTGAATTTAGATTTAATTTTATATTGCAGTACACGTTGTTTTAATAAATAACTATCTATTTTTTCATACACTGTAGGACATATATTTGACAAACTTTTCAAATTCCAACTTTAGACAAAATTTTCAAATTTATTTCAATTGATAACTTAATGAAAGGGATTGATTGAAATAAAGTGCAACTTTCCCATCTGTGTCCATTTAATGAAGATGGTATTAATTAATGAAGCTATGTGTACATTATAGTTTCTTTCTGTATTTAAGTCTAGGTGATATTTCTTTTTCAAACTGACTTTATAATACCATTTTATTAATTCTAAACTCGGTTTCGAAATAAGATTACAATAAACTCAGTTTAAAATCATACTCGATTAAAAAGCAAGTAGATTTTTTTTTTCAACTTAACTATCTCAACGTACTTTTGAGTCTCCAAACTGAAAATTAAACATATGCTAAGTCTAAATTTGAACACTTTGCTCCATTCAAAATTGTTGCTAGCAGACAATAAATATTAAAATTATATCTAACCAAATAGGTTACTTTTAGTGCCTAACCATGACCATCCACAATATATATATAACTTTTTACCTAAACTTCTTAAATGTTTACAACCTACAATATAGGAAGAGAACAAAAACTGTAAAATATAAGCAAATAGTGTACTTAATATTGTACATGAACTTTTACTAAAAATAATATAATGTACCTTTTACAATAATTTTTCCCACTCTTATAATAATAATAATTTTGAAAATACAAAAACTTATTTTCACTAACACAATACATGTCTAATATATAAATTCATACATAAAATATATTTAAACTTTCTCTCTTTTTCACTCTCTCCTTCGCTTATAGTATAATATTTTGTTAAATAAATTTCGTCTCAAGAAATAAGTTTTATTTTCAAACAAAATTCATCTAATGAAAAATTCACTCAACAAATTTCATTCGGATAACCAACACTACTCTAAGGATTGAATATGACTCTTTTAGTAAACAAATACTGAGTTATTGTCGAAGCTATTGTAATTTTTTAACTTTTAATATAAGTAAATGTCTTTTTAAGAACGTAAAGTGTTAATAAGAGTTTCAGCTTATCCTTTTGACTTTTGAGTCATATTTGAGTAGAGCTATCAGAAGAGGTAATCCGGCTCACCACGGTTTGATTACTTAATGAGTTAACTCAACCCAGTTCACTTATTAACGAGTTGAAAAAATTCGAACCCAACCCGACCCACTATAGGTTGGTGGATTAAACGGGTTAGCTTTGGCTCATTTAATTATGGGTTAAATATGTTTTTAGTCCCTAAACTATTGACCGTTTCTGGTTTTCGTCCCTCTTCCAAAGTAAGGTACAATTTAGTCCTCAATCTTTAAAAAACGTTCGTTTTAGTCGAAAAAACGAACGTTTTGAGGACTAAAACGAGGACGAAAAACAAAATTTTGAGGACTAAAAACAAAATTTTGAGGACTAAAACGAACGTTTTTCTAAAGAATGAGGACCAAATTGTACCTTACTTTGGAAGAGGGACGAAAACCAGAAATGGCCAATAGTTTAGGGACTAAAAACATATTTAACCCTTTAATTATAAGTTTTTTTTAAATAAAAAAATTACAATTTTTTTTAATTCAAATCTAGATAAACGTCATACTAAAATGATGTTAAACTCAAAAAATAATTCATAATAATAAAAAGATATCATACAATCCAAACATAATCCAAAACATGTACAAAAATCGAATACATAAGTTTTTAATATCGATTATTTTTGTATCATTTGTCCATTTATAATATTAGAGTCTTGAATAGATAAATCTATAATATTTTTCTCTCCTTCTTTGTCATCATTTACAATATAATAAAAAAATGCTAACTAATAATATTAAAACACAAAATAATAAATAATTAAATTAAATTAAGTGGGTTGGTGAGCCAATCCAACTAACCATGGATACAATCCAGTGAGTTAAATTCTAAGTGAGCCGAATTAAAAACTAACCTACGTAAAAAAATTACATTTTTTAAACCTAATTCGACTCATTGTTATATTGACTCATTGTTATAATCCATTTTTGATATCATTTGAGCATCATTCAATGAATTGTTATCTTTAATTATTGTTGCATAATGATTTATGTTTTAGGAGTTGTTTCCAAATTTGATACGTTATGATAAAATATAGTTTAAATGATATATACAGATAATATCGAAGAAAACTATCGATAATAATTAAAAGTAATTGTAATATATTTATATTATATTACAAATGAAGTTATTTTACAGACTTTTTTTTAAAGCATGGTACTTTTTACTAGATCTTCTGATTTAGGAATGAGAAGTAGTGAGAGAATTATAACTTCGTGTAAGATGATTTTTCTATTCCATAGTTACAGCCAATAAATGACATTAGTGTAAAATATTTATTAATGTACTCTGTACTTCCTGCCAAAATGTTCAACCAAATCTAATATCACTGTCACCCACCCAACTTTTATACTGTCATCTTCTCTTTGATTTTGTTTTGGTCGAAGCATCTTATGCGTTGCTATTTTTTAACTAAAAAAGAGAACAAAAATATATATTTTTAAAACTAAAAAAAATGGTAATATTTTTTTCAAAAAATTATCTTACAACTAAAATTCATTTGAACGGAACCTTTTTTTCTTCTATGTAAGGATTAAATTATTTATTGTTTAAAAATGACATTTTGCAAACTATATTATTTTTTTGAAAATATATATTTGTTATCCTTTATCATGACATGTAATTTCATGGATATTTAAATTCCATCATGATGAATAATACACACAAATTTTATATCTTTTTGAATATTTAATTTATATTTTAAATTTTTCTAAATTTGAAAATACACATGTATTCATAAATATTTGATAATTATTGTAAAATTCATCTTTCTTTTTCTGGTGCGGAAATAAATATCCTCGTGTCTAGATGAAACAAATTTGAAAACTCATGGGCCAGATTTATAGGATAGGGCCATTATAATTGATTGGAGTTCCACTTCTTCCAAGTTTCATTCTACTTCCAATTTCTTAAAATATTCCTAATTAATTAAGTGATTAATTATTAATTTTACTATTGATTACACCTCCATTTTTCCTCTATCACCAAACATACATCCCTGCATCCTTACAATTATTTTCATTTGTATTAAGAAACTCTACACCCTAACATCCTATTTGAATTGCACATCTGATAATCTTTAGTGTTTAATGTATGTTTAAATTATATTCATTATATATTTAATTATTGTTATATTAGTTTATAATTATTTTTAAATTTATGTATAAGTTTATAATGTAATTATATAAATTTTAATTGATATAAATTCAATTGTATGAATTTATTAAAATTAATAAAACTAATTTAGAATATAAAAGACTAAAGATGTACGAATTCGATTATATGTGTATCGATCATGAAAATTCAATGCTTTGATTCTCGAAGATCCATATATAATTTAGGTTTAATATTTTACATAAAATTTTTATTACATTACTTATATAATTATTTTATTAGTTTATAATTATATTTAAAATTATAAATCAATTTTTATGAATGTATAATTTAATTAGATAATATATAATTGTTACAAAATATTTTTATGAATGCATATTCAATGAAGAGATGAAAACAGCTTAGAAAATAAATGAGTTGCGATGGATATTTGAAATGCGAAAGAGAGAAGTATGAGTGCATACTGACAATGATCAAGAATCTTTGACTACTTCTGTTTTTCTTTTAATATTAAAACCTTTTTAATTACAGGTAATGAAAACATTTTATAAAACTTTGGAGGTGTAGGATGAATTACTTGGAGTGTAATGTTTTATAGGCTATTACTTGTAGCACTTCCACAATTTATTTGCGCACTTCCAAATTTTCAAAATGACATTTTTTATTTTATAAAAGTAATTTTCAGATTACATATTTTTGGAGATTATTTGAAAATAGTAGTTATTCGATAAGAATTTTGGAAAGAGAGTTCTAGAATAAAATTCCTAAAATGCACGAAAAACATTTTAGAAAAAGCTTTTTTCTCCGTTCTTCTTATCTGGCAGTGGCTGTAACAAAGATAATATAGTGCTGTGGTGAAAAGTTTTTTAGTTTGTTTCTGTTGGTGTAGGGTGCAATTACCAATTGTGGAAGTACCGAAAGCCATAACATGTATTTTTTTCTTTGGTAGCCCAACATTGCAAATGATGCTTGCTTTATTTATCTTTTATTTTGTGGATGTTGCTCCCTTCACCACCACTCCTTCTTCCTCCACCACCTCATTTCTGTTTTATTTAGGGATGAAAAAAAA